GGTGCACATTATGTAAAGTGAAGCCTGGACACAAGCAGCCGGTGGAGGCAGCCAGCTCAGTGCAGGGGATCTGACTCTCCAGGCAGGGATTGTATTTGCATTTCTCAGTTTTCTGTCCATGTGGAGACACTTTGCTCTGTGGTATAGGTGTGGCTGTGATTTCATCGTCGGGGTAATCATCTTCCCGAAACACGAAGGACTCACGTGTTGCTTGGGGACTCATGGTATACGTGCCTGGGACTTGTGATGTAGGGAGGGGACTGTAACCTCTGATGAGAACCAGGCAAACGATCGCCAGGGGGAAAGGCAGGTCCCTGCTGGCAGCAATCATCTTTCTGGAAATGAAAGAAAGAAAAATTCCATCAGCTAGTTGGAAAATCTGTTTTTCAGATCAATGAAAAGCATCAGCCCCTTGGGCTTCCAGCCATGTACTAGACGTCTCTTCTTTTCCCCGCATGAGAGACGCTGAATGAGGACATGCAGTCAGTTCTTCACTGATGCTGTGTCTTTTACAGGGTATATAACTGCACAGGGAATGTAACAAATAGCTTAAATGTGAGCCTAGTGCCTGCTGGGAAATTGAAAAAGAACATTAACTGTCAAAAAAGCAACGCACACTGCAACTGTGGACACTTCATTAGTTAAAAGTTTTATTCTGTGGCATGTTTGTGAAGGATTTATAGTCTTGTTAACAGAGCTGCTATCATTAATCCTCACTTGTTAAGATTTGGAGGTACTTCATACTAATTCAGCATTCCAGGCGTATTGCACAACAGGTCCAAATGCCTACACACCCAAGACTGAGCGCAGCCCTCTAAGCTGGGTCCAGTTACAGGACAGCTGCAAGTGCCGTTTCCACAAGAATCCACACAAACATACCTGAAATATGTGCTGTGCTGGACATGCATAGAGAATCGACAATGGATCCCATTCACAAAAGTCCTTGGAGAGATAAGTCTGTTTGACCTCATTAAAATAGAGCAGGAGCCACTATTGAATACTACTCTGGGCTATTTGTTTAGCCACAGCTAGGCTACAATCTCTGGTGTTAAGAGTGAAAATATAATAAAAAGTTATAAACCTACCTGTTGATGCAAAGGTTTTGAAATCTGATTGAGAATTAGCTCCGTTCCCCTCGTCTTTCCGTCCACTTGTTCCCTCTTTTTCTCTCACCTCCTTTATTTATTTCCCTTCTCCCAAACAATCACCTCCTTCTTTCTGCCCTCCTCCCACAATCCCTCCTTATTCCCGACTCTGCTGGACCAGCTCCACCTCCCTCTTTGCTGAATGCTATAGTTATGTGCTTGCTGTTAATGACATGATTACTATAAGCTAGAACATTGCATCATTTACTGGTGAAGTGAACCATGTGCATTCCTTAGCGGTGTGCAGATTTCTTTAGAGCATGCACTTCTTGTTAATGATCTCTTGTTTTCCTTTTAGGGCTGAGGAAAATTGAACAGGATTGGGTATTGTCTACGTCAGGGCTTATATTCATTAGAATTCATCATCCCTGACATATGCCAGTAATTTCCGACCGCCTATCCCATTATCTCAACCACATGTCCTATCACCTGAAAAAAATGTATGACTTTACTGGTGTGCTGTTGTTCACCAAAAAGGCCGGAAATCAACCTGACTGTGCTTGTTCTGGAAAAGAACAAGTCTTAAATAACTATGCTGGTATTTTTCTTAAGAAGACTAAAACAGTCAGAATAAGAAGTACAAGATGTGGTGATTGTTTTTAGAATTGACATCACAACTCCAGTCAGCGCTTTCAGGAAAGAGAAGAACTGGACGATAATGTTTATGTGACATGTGGGAAAGCAACTTTTCCAGATGTATCCAGCTGCACGCTCTCATCTCAGGTCTGACTTTGAGCTTAGACCACAGAAAATATGGGCGCTATTAGTTTGCATTGCCCCGTACCAGAAGGACTGTGTTCAGTATGCTCTGACTGAGAAAGCAATTATATCAAAATACTAATTTACTTATTTACTTACACAAATGACTATTTTACCCCAATACACTATCTAACACCTGCATTATTGTTGTTATTTCTATTTACCTTTTATCATTATTATTATTATCCTTGTGTGAATTATTATCTACGTGTTTCCCTTTATTTTCTGTTGCTTCTTTAACACCATCTTATCTTATTATGTTTCTTATACTTTTATTGTATATTTTCCATCTTGTATGAGCCGTGGGTGAGTCAATGTGTACCAGAAGGACTGTGTTCAGTCAGCTCTGACTGAGAGAACAATTATATCAAAATGCACTTACTCATTTAACAACAGGAATGACTATTTTACCCAAATATACTACATCTAACACCTGCATAAAGACATGTTTATATGTTATTTTTGTAATTTCTATTTATACTGTTTATTTTAACTTTTATCAGTATTTTTATCCTTTCGAATTCTTATCTACATGTTTGACTTTACCATATCTTATCTTAGCTATTATGCTTTCTTATTATGTTTCTTATACTTTTATTGTATATTTTCTTTCTATCTATTTGTATGAGCCGTGGGTGAGTCAATGTGTTTGGGTCTTACTGGATACAGTGTGGGTGTGTACGTGTCAAGGAGAATATTTGTACATATATTTTTATGCAGGAATATGGGTAGGTTTATGTATTGCGTAACACAGGCTTTGTGTATGTATTCTATCTGATTTCTACACTGAAAAACATCTATTTTTGCTTTATTTCCTAATAATTCATGTTCATATTCGGAAGACTTTATTGACCCCAGGGGGGAAATACGGTTGTTTTGCAGCTGTTCTTGTCTAGGGAAAAAAATAGAATTCTAAGTTATGGTACAGTTTAGTCATAGAGTTTTGGCAGTTTTATGACGTAACTAATCACAAGTGTGACATAAGGCCAGGGGTGAAATGAGTCAGTTGTAGGTCTGTAAATGGTTTATCCACGATGGGAGAAACAGTGTCACAGTCTTTTTATTAGATAGTGTGTCAATATGAGCAAGAAATATTTGTGTTGTGACAAAATAATCAGGCAGATAAAGAAGTGTTGTAACATGACCCACAATGCACTGCCCCTCTTGCCATGCAACAAATCAATTTTTCCCCAACCACTGTGGCTGGTATGAGTCTGCTTTCCTCATTACGAACGGTTGCATGTGAATATAGTTTTTTATAATAAAGAAATAGAAGCGACCGAAGTCAATTCAACAGGGTCCTGTTATAAGGCAAATTAATAATGATATCCATAAAACTAGAACTGACATGATTCTTCTTACAGTAAGAATCACTCAATAGGCTACTTTACTTCATCTTTAAAGGATCCAAGTGCTGGTAAACAGGGGGGAAAATTGGGAACTGCAACACACTTTTTAAAGTATAATGTGATAGTTATTACATAAAAAACAATAATACGTGATAGAAATAATAATAATGAAGAATAACCTAAATAAACAAATGTTTAAGTGTTAATTCCTTCCTGTTTGGGAAGTCATTTCAATTACATAGATAGATAGATGATAAATGTAAGGTTTCTTACTTCAGTATTATTAAAGCCGTCTATAGTGCCCCCTACAGCCTAAAATAATAAGGGAAACACGCAAAAAAGAAGGAATATAACTTGGAGCCAGGCGAGCCGATGTCCGTGTTTCCTCACTTGGTGTGATTGACAGTAATTCTTTTTTTTAATTTGTTGGATTGCATTTTGACATTGAACAGTTCATCTGCGAAGCATCACAAAGTTGATACGTTTGGCCTCTTTCACAGCATCCTGCAGCACACTGTTGAGGATGAAGTGGTATGTCTTCCGCCGGTTTCAGAGTATATATAACCATCTGAGAGGTCAATGACCTGAGTGTGCTTTGGATTTTGAACACTCAAGTCTAATTTAAGATTGAAAAGAGGAAAACTATAGCTTTTTTCCGCAAATGGCTGCTGCACAGCCACGAAGATTGGGTGACGTTTCGCCCTGATTTAAAACTTGCAGGCTTGTAAATAGGACCCACTACACTTGTACATTAGGGCAGTTTAGACAAAATATTTCTTTAACATTTTGAGGGACTTTACTTGAGTAATTAAATGTTAAAAAAAGTTTGCTTCTTTTTACTTCAACTACAATTCAGAGGTATATCGTGTACTTTTACTCCACTACATTTATTTAATACCGTGAGTTACTTTGCACATTTGGATTAATAATGTGACTTGTAACAGAGCATTCCTACATTCTGGTACTTTAAGATCTGAGTACCTCTTCCACTTGTAGCTAATTAGCAAGTTATGTAATGGTGCAATATGAAGCTGTGTAATTGCAAAAGCCAATGAGCTGCAAACTAACTTATGTAAAGCATCTGTTGACACATATTGTCTTTTGTAGCAGGTGAACAATGTTGACATTAAAAAAGGGAATCCAGAAACAATTATTGTATTATTCTGAGAGTTAATTCAACTAATCAATTGCTCTTTATCTTGATGTCATTTTGCCACCCCTTTGGTAAACTTGTGAATCTGATTGAACTAAATACGAATGAATAAAGAAAAGTACTAATTTGGCTGATCGAATCGCGTAGTTTGGAAATGCATGATCTTTGTTAATGTGTACTAATTATTGATGCAACATTGTGTACATGGCTTTAATTATGCAACTGTTGAAAGTGGAGCATATTTAAATGTCTTATACTGCAGGGTAACTTAAGCTATGGTATTATTGTATAATGTAAATTATATTTACCACTGTGTCAACAGAATTATATTTGACCTTTTAGATGAAAAGCAGAAAAGAAGAGTCTGAATGTAGGGTTTACAAATTGTATTGTCTATACATACATTTTCAATGCAACAATTATATAAGGAAAATATGTTTCTAATATGCAAGATGTAATAGAAATACGAAATGCTTTGCAAGCAAACGGATATTACATTTAGAAAGGAGCACTATGGCTTATTTATAATGCTCTGCTGAAAGGATGAAACTCCCTTCAAGTCAACACTCAGGGCACAGTGAACACAGGCTACTCTGATGCCATCCCTGTGCGACGGGCCTCAGAGTCAGCACAGAGCAGTTCCGCTGGCTGAGGCAGGAGATGGGTGAGTTGCTGCTTGGGACCATGGTATCACTGAACAATAATCTACGGACTTGAATAACGCCGGTAAAGACCGTCGACTCTTTCCTCCTGCAGAGTCACGGTGTTTGCAAGAGGACGTTTTTACCGACTCGCGTTTTTAGCTTTAAAGCTAGCAGGCTAATGTGAGCTAGCGGTACCGGGGCCCTGCGAAGAGTTCATTGTTTTTGTCAGCCAAGCCAGATAAACATAACTTGGGCAGATGTAATAGCGGTTCGTTGTTTTAATATACCACACTTGCAGGATTATTCCAGTTGGTCGTAATTTTAGACTGTTTTAATAGCTCATCAGACGTTAGCATAGCCTGTAAACGCTAGAAAACTGCATTAAAGCTAACTTTAAAATCATGACTGCCCGGAGGACAGGCTATGCTGCTGCTGGCATGGTCTCCACTCCCTCTAATAGCGGAAATGGAAATCGTAAACAGAGCTTAATAGACAGGACCGGGGTCGAGTCCTGTTATGACCGGAAAGGAGCCTCGCAGGGCGGCGTGACCGTCACGTCGCTGAAGACCCGACTCGCCCCGACCATCCAGACCGCCATGTCCGCTGCAGTGGACACTCTACTGGGGGAAGTGGTGCTGATGCTCAACGAGACCCAGCAAGAGCTGCTGCACAAGGAACAGGAGAATGAGAGACTCAAGGTGCGTCTGGAGGTGTCTGAAAGGGAGCTGAAGACTTTACAGGAGTGTCTGTGCAGCGCTCAGAAGCACATAGACCAGCTGCAGATCTCCTACACCGGCTCTCCGTCCATCGGGCAGTCCGTGTTCGCCCCGTCTCTCTCCTCCATGGCTTCAATGGCCTCAGGGTTGGACCGGGATCACCAGGGCGGCCGGAATGTGAACGGAGCCGGGGTGGACTTGGGTCTCGGTGGGTCAGTGGATGACTCCCTTCACGGGTTTGATACAAGAGATGACTACAAAATGTGCCAGCTCTCTATCCAGCCCGACGGCTCTGTGACCAACCACGCGCTGGACACCTTTACCTCCAACACATCGCATATGTGCTCCGATAGACCAGGTAAATATGCAATTTGAACTGTGTGTATTAGGGCTAAAACTAGCTGTTATTTCCATTATGGCTTAATCAGATGTTTACTTTGTGTTGTCACTCCCAAAGATGAAGTTTAATATTAAATAAACCAGAGAAAAGCTGTACATCTCCACATTTGAAAGACTTAGACCTCAGGTCTTCTATTTTGCATTGCAAATGACAATAATCAACAAGGAAGGCACATGCTTTTTTTCTGGTTGACTCATTGATTAATTTAATAATCCATTAAACTCTATTCTGTTTAATTTTTTACGGTGTCCTTTGTCTTTGATTGTGAGAGCAAGTAAATCAAGGAGTTATTTTAAATGGACATATGGATTCATAGTTGTGTTTTAATATAGTATTCCTTTCACATTAACTATCTCTGCATGTTTGAATTTGTCTTTCAGATGAGAGGCAGACTCAGGCACAAGGTGGAGCTTCCAGTTTTGAGATTAAAGAGGAGCAGTTGCCCGGTTCAGGCTCCGGTCAGCCCGGTAGGAAGGACAACAGGGTCGGGGAGAGCGATCTTGGCTACGTTCAAGTTGGGGAAGAGGGTTCCCAGCGTTCCTTTACTCATCCACTGCGTCACCAAAGACCTGTGCGAGAATGTGGCAGTGACTTGCAGCAGGGAGGACTTGATGGACAGAAACAGTTGGCTAGGACTCCTGGAGCCGGGAGAGTAGACGGCGTCTCACCGGGCAGAGCAGACGACTCTGCTGGACCTTCAGCCTCTGACACCCCAGTGGAGCCCTCTTTAGACCGGCCTCACCACTGTCTGGAGTGTGGGAAGACTTTCCGTCTGATCTCCAGCCTGAAGAAGCACATCCGCATCCACACTGGAGAGAAGCCTTACCCGTGTGCAGTGTGCGGCCGCCGCTTCCGCGAGTCAGGGGCGCTTAAAACCCACCTTCGTATTCACACGGGTGAGAAACCATACTCTTGCTCAGAGTGTGGGAACTGCTTCCGCCACTTGGACGGTTTGCGCAAACACAGGCGCACGCACACCGGGGAAAAACCGTACGTTTGTGCCATCTGTGGGAAGCGCCTGAGCCGCCTGCAGCACCTGAAGCACCACCAGCTGATCCACACCGGGGAGCGGCCCTGCTGCTGCCCCTTCTGCAACCGCAGCTTCAAGGAGCCCGCGGCGCTACGCAAACACATCCGCACGCACCGGGAGGAGGGCGGTCACTTGGGGATTGTTCCCGTGGACGAAGCGGAGCAAGACGTTCTGGACGACATTAACAACCTCCACCCGGCAGCGCCGTCCCCTCAGATGAGGTTCGAGGACTGGGGAGCTGACGAGGAAGACAGCTCGGTGGTGGATTGTGTGTAGGAGCTTATAAATATAGGAATAACTGTCTGCTGGCATTTTACCTATGTAACCTTCTCCGTGGACATGGAACAAGGTGTTTGTGTGGTTTGTAAACACGATGGATAAGTGTGAGGCTACGTATAACCCAAGCCTTGGAGCCTCGTTTATATCTGGTGTTTCCATACTCTTAGATGTAATTATATAACGTTTTAAAATATCCCACGGTACATTCTTCAACAACAACTATATTTGTCGGGACATTCATCAAGCAGCAGCACAGGGAGAGGCAGGTTTGCTAACTTCTCCTGCAATCATTTAGGAAATTGATAGCTGAAGTGTACAAGAGCTGTTTTCTTATTTAAAATAAAAGGGCCTTGAACACTCAGTCAACCATCAACTGCTGTTCAAGATTTAAGTCAGGACAAGAGTTAAGTTACCACTCTGGGCCTGAGTTTTTTTATAGTTTCGCAGATTAGAGACTGGATAGCTGTTGAATTGTCCCTCGGCTACTGATTAGGCACACTAGTTGAAATGGATCCATGCGACTGGTTCATGTCTCGTGTGGACAACATGCAGGACTTCAGACCGTTTGCATTATGTTGCTTGTCATCGTTGATCAAACCAAACTTTACAGTATTTTTGGTTACGGTTGCTTGTGCTTTTAAATAATGTAAGAGGTGTATGAACAAAACAATGTCAATATGTTTCACATAATTGCGTCTTTAAAGAGCAGGAAAACAACTTTTTAAATGGTGGCAATTTTAACCCTTAGAGAATATCTGTCTCCTATCAGGATAGAAATGTTTTACTACCTCTGTTTTTATCTTTGTTGCACTGCTTATCCTGTTTGTAGATATTTCAGCACTGTCTTTTCAAAAGTGCATAATGGCCGTTAAAAAATACAACAAATATTGAACTATAGTTCTCTGGTATTTTCACCAAGTTGGGATTAAAATAGCTATAATTGTTGTAAAAGATACGTTTGCTGCTATATGCAGACACAATAATATTGAATGACTACAAAAATAGCATTAATAATGGATTAATTCAATTCAAAAAGGTAGCGTGTCCTCTCTCGCGCTACCCAAATGAAACCATCCGTTAGCTTTAAAGCTATTTAAATATAACTACCTTTGCTCTCTTGTGTTTGTGTCTTAATGAATCCTGAACCAGTCCTAATCTTTACCTCTCACCTCTGCAGAGCTCCTATCAGTGACACAATCATAATGTGGTAAGTGAAGCTGAAGTGTGAAGAATATCTGAAGACATCCGACATTTATTCAATCATTTCCAGAGCACCCAGATCAACAGCTTAGACTTTCTCTCATTCTCTCCAGCTTTGACTCTAATTTCTCTCTTATGGACCATATGTTAGCATTCCCCTTTCTTTTTTTCAAGCTGCTACTGTTTTGTCCGGAGAGCCTTAACCTTTTCTGGACTTGCATTTCTGTAACCGGCCAGTCACTAGCGATCACTAGCGGACAGATTGAGGTGCTTGCATGTGCATATCGGTTCTTCCGCTAGCGTCTAATGCCTTCCGGCTGTTTCTGTACATAAGAATGTAGTCTTAGCCATTTTATCTGGATTAATGAGGGTTAACATTTATTGAAAAGTGTATGTGCGCGGGGAAAAAAACGAAAGAGTATGTGCTTTAAAAAGAGGCTAACATGCTGCTGTGTAATAACTTGTAATCTCATTCTTCCTGATGTTCTTCCTGTTGCGACACGACGGTTGCATCAGGGTTTACAGCAGAGCATTAATCTTCTCAGCCTTTAAACGTAGGCCTCTGGTGTCTTTTACCTTGTATACTACTATAACAATCTCCATGTAACGATTCTATGTACATTTACGGTATTTTTAAAGGCACTCAAAATGTTAAATATATTACTGTATAGCCAGAAAAAGATTTGCCACGGTAGACTTGACCCCAGATAATCATATTTATTGTTTTTTGTATTACAAACAAAAGGGGGCCTTTGCATGTAGGTTTGAACTGTAATTACATTCTTCCTTAAAAAGTCAGTATTAAATGTGAAAACATATTTTTTAATGCATCTGTGTTGAACATATATCCCCCTCATCCCATTCATCCCGTTTCCTGCTGTAAATGTTATTATATTAAAGGGCCTTGTTTCTACTTCTTGTCTTTCTGTGGCTGTTTATTCAAAAACTAAATGAATTTATCAATTTCCTCGAGGATGCGGCAACTTGCTGAAACTTGATAAAGCCAAGAGTGATTCCTAATTTTAGTTTATCCTAGCGTTATGACTTCAGTCTCACTCCCTTCGTATCGTGACAGGAGAACCGCGTTAACCCCGAAGGAGAGTTTTCTGAAGCTGTGCCAAACAGATTGTGTAGGTGCTGTCGACACGCCCAAAGGCCGGTCTCAAATAATACCCTTCCCTTCTCCAGATGCTGAGTAATGGCAGCTGTGTTTATACTATTATGCTATTTAAGGTGGCTCTTGTATGATTACAGGAAACTGTAGTTAAACCTTTTTTTCTCTCAGTTTTTTGCTAATGCACCCTTCCCAGTGTTGTTTTAAACAATCTCATGTGATTGTAATAATGCTTGTGTAATCAAGTAATTTAATATGAGACAAAACTATTCTAAAAGTGAGCCTTGTAGGGGGAGAAAAGCTGCTGTATTACATGTTGATAGTCTGATTGATTTGATATATACAGTGGGGCAAAAAAGTGTTTAGTCAGCCACCAATTGTGCAAGTTCTCCCACTTAAAAGGATGAGAGAGGCCTGTAACTTTCATCCTAGGTATACCTCAACTATGAGAGACAGAAGGAGAAAAACAAATCCAGAAAATCACATTGTCTGATTTTTAAAGAATTTATTTGCAAATTATGGTGGAAAATAAGTATTTGGTCACCTACAAACAAACAAGATTTCTGGCTCTCACAGACCTGTAACTTCTTCTTTAAGAGCCTCCTCTGTCCTCCACTTGTTAACTGTATTAATGGCACCTGTTTGAACTCGTTATCAGTATGAAAGACACCTGTCCACAACCTCAAACAGTCACACTCCAAACTCCACTATGGCCAAGACCAAAGAGCTGTCAAAGGACACCAGAAACAAAATTGTAGACCTGCACCAGGCTGGGAAGACTGAATCTGCAATAGGTAAGCAGCTTGGTGTGAAGAAATCAACTGTGGGAGCAATTATTAGAAAATGGAAGACATACAAGACCACTGATAATCTCCCTCGATCTGGGGCTCCACGCAAGATCTCACCCCGTGGGGTCAAAATGATCACAAGAACGGTGAGCAAAAATCCCAGAACCACACGGGGGGACCTAGTCAATGACCTGCAGAGAGCTGGGACCAAAGTAACAAAGGCTACCATCAGTAACACACTACGCCGCCAGGGACTCAAATCCTGCAGTGCCGGACGTGTCCCCCTGCTCAAGCCAGTACATGTCCAGGCCCGTCTGAAGTTTGCTAGAGTTTTTGGTAAAAACTCAACTAGACGTGTTTGGAGGAGAAAGAATGCTGAGTTGCATCCAAAGAACACCATACCTACTGTGAAACATGGGGGTGGAAACATCATGCTTTGGGGCTGTTTTTCTGCAAAGGGACCAGGACGACTGATCCGTGTAAAGGAAAGGATGGGCCAAAATACCAGCAACAGTGTGTGAAAACCTTGTGAAGACTTACAGAAAACGTTTGACCTCTGTCATTGCCAACAAAGGGTGTATAACAAAGTATTGAGATGAACTTTTGTTGTTGACCAAATATTTATTTTCCATCATAATTTGCAAATAAACTATTAAAAAACAGACAATGTGATTTTCTGGAATTTTTTTTCTAATTTTATCTCTCATATTTGAGGTATACCTAGGATTAAAATTACAGGCCTCTCATTTTTTTAAGTGGCAGAACTTGCACAATTGGTGGCTGACTAAATACTTTTTTGCCCCACTGTACATCAGAGTTGCTGTTACCTACATATGGATTATCTTTAAATATAACACATTATGCTCATTTTCAGGTTCATATTTGTATTTTCTGCCTCTACATGCTTTAATGTTCAAAAAGCTCTTTATTTTTCTCATACTGCCTGTGCTGCAGCTCCTCTTTTCACCCTCTGTCTGAAACCAGAGCCCAGTCATTTGCAGACCATTTAAAGTGCACCTATCATGCTATTTTTAGGCAATAGCAAAGGTCTCATAAAAAACATGTCTATTAAGTGTTTTGCTCAAAATACCAAACAGATCACCCATTCTAGCCATGCCTCATATCCCTCTATGCTCATATAACTCTGTTTCACTTCCTGTTTCAAAAGTGCTGAAAAATTGATAACAAATAAAAAAGGAGGGGGCTGAGCTCATGCGGGACCCAGCTACTGTCTAAGCTAAATACTGCCGTGATGAAACGCCATATCATGGATTATCAAAGACTATTTCAGAAACAGTATGGAGCTCAAAGGCTTTCTCTCTTGCCGGTTATACCACAAGGAGACTTACTTGTCCTAACAAAACTGATCACAAATGGGAGTTGTGACATCAAGTTGAAGCAAGTGCTGCAGAGAGCCTATAAACATATTTCCCTAAACGCATCAGTGGAAGTTCACACCTTGCAGAGCTTGCGATTCATGAGAAAAAACCACACGTTGGTTAGTGAGGGAGAAGCATCTAAACAAGTCACAACAGATAGAGAGCAATTGAAATCTCACAGAAAATACTGCAAAAAGAAATGATCTTCCCTGCTGCAAAACAGGTCTCACGCTAAGACTCCATATATTTAATATTTCCAACTGCAGTATCTAATGGCTATTATGCTCATAGCGAGTGGCAGATGTAAAAAAAAAAAAAACCGCCATCTTTAAATAAACTTCTAGTACATTGCAATTCTGAATTAGTTCTCTACTGAAATTGAGAGGGATATAATTATTTTAAAACTACTGCATATGAATACAGTTGTTAACTTCAACAATATCTAAAAATGCTTATTCAGGGACCATCAGATGTACGGTAAGTACTTTTATTTTGACTTTGACACCATGAAAACATCTTGATGATCTTTTTTCTGCACTTTTAATTTTGACTCGTAATGAAGTGTTATTACATTGTGCTGGTAATACTTACACTATCGACCTCACAGAGTTCCTTCTCTCTGTAAGCAGCTGTTTTTTATGGTGTGTAATTCAGATGCTTATTTCTCTTTTCTGTTTGTCATCAATCTCTGCTGCAATTACTGACATTAAAAGGTTTCAGTTTTCAGAAGGGAAGTCATTTCAATTGCACTAATAATAATCCACCGGGAGGGTTTATGTGTGACCTACAATGTATTTTGCGGTGTGTGTGTGTGTGTGTGTGTGTGTGTGTGTGTGTGTGTGTGTGTGTGTGTGTGTTCCTTGGCAGCGGATGATGCAGTGATGGCTAGTGGCGGAGGTGGAGAGAAATGTGAGAGCGGCCTGTGAACTCTCTGCAGGCCCATGCAGTCATTTCCTCAGCGACTGAAGGTAAACACTCACTTTTTTGGAGAGGAAGTGACTCAACTCTCTCTTTTGTTTTCTCTCACTTTCTTTAGTCTCTTCCTCACTCTCACCCCTTGTCCCTGTGACCCCAACATTTTCACATTTTTTATTGTTACGTCGTGTGATTGACTTTTCCCAGGCATAAGCTTAACATATGACTGAAATTAGGTTTTCAGACAGTCTTAGGAACTTTTCACCCTCTATCTGAAACCACAGCTGCTCTGATTGGTTAGCTGGCCGGCTCTGTTGTGAGTGGACGACTAAGAGATTTCCCTTAGCCTAAAATGTGTTGGAACGCTAGCCAGTAAAAGTGCAGGTGTTACATAGTGATGTCATTATGTTACGGAAGAATGGAGGCGTTTCAGGCAGGGGAGGGAACTTTTGGATTTTAGGTTTTGCAGACCATTTACTGTACATGCATACACACCTATAATACTTCACAGAAAAGGGAAAACCCCCAAAAGCATAAGGCCTCTTTTAAGTGTTGACAAGGACAAGAAAAAAGGAGTTTCCTTGGTTTCTGATGGTGAATTTGTACATTTAAAGTGCAACATTTTCGATAGATGAACCGACATGATGTGTGAAACTGACCTGTGGAACTCATCACATCATGTAACACACATCTGTAAAGCTGTAGTGCAGATGTCACATATTTTTCCTATACCTACATTTTGAACTATCACGAGACAGAAACCAGATGTCCACCTAGCTGTATCCTTACAGGTGGAGTAACCCCTGATGCTGACCTCAGCATGAACCCCATGACCTACCATAAAATGTCTACACATTTAGCTATGTCTGAAACTTGGAAAACGTTTTTATTGACATGATATAGTAATATAGTTACTGTAGTCTGATCAAATAGTAAGTTATATAGAGATAATGCAGGGTCTATACTGTATCTGATATATAAGTTTCTATAGCAAGACAAATGCACATTGTAATACTTGTGTAGCCTATATCAGAAACTAATCAAACACAATACAGATCAGTATTTCTTAATTATCAGAGTGACACACACAGCTGTACAGATTTGATTTGAAGACTGTGTGTGGAGAGGAGAGGAGGGGGTGTTAGTTAGTATGGAGAAATAACCAACAAGGAAACCGCTTTCAGCTTCGCTGCTGCACCGCCTGGCTGGCCCGCTGCCAGCTTTCTCCAGAGAGGGTTGGCTCACCCCTTCTCCTCCTCTCCTCCTCCCTTCTTTCTCTCCCAATCCCACATACGCACTCTCTCCAAAGCAACAGGCGAGAAGAAGGAAGGAGCGACCCAAAAAGCGAGGGCAACTTTTCAAAAAACTACTGCAACGAGGGAAACTTTTCTTAAAGATGTCCAACGTGTCGGTTTTGCTGACGGATTGATTGTTTTTTTTAAAAGGAGAAATCAGGAGGGGAGGACGCGCTTTTTTTCCTTCTGCTTCCACCGTATGAAACGTCACAAATCTGCCTGGGTTTTTACAGAGCAGGCGCTTCTGAGCTGGAGTGATTTAATGTCCCCGGGTCTCTGTGCAGGGCAGTGAAGGATGCCAGGATGCCCCCTCTGATCGCCCATCTGCTGGTCATCTGGCTGAGCGTCCACAGGCTGGTGTGGTGCACGGAGCGCTCCTCCACCCGGGAGCGCTTCAAGGTGGTCATCTCTCCTCTCATCTGCAAGAGGATCTGTGTTAAGGGCCAGTGTCAGGATACCTGCGAGCAGGGCAACAACACCACGCTGATCGCGGAGAACGGCCAGGTGGCAGACACGCTCATCGGACAGGGCTTCAGGGTCGGTGAGTGGAACAATGCTGTTTATTTACAGGCGGATATAATGAGACCGCCGAGATTAACTAATAGTGCTGCTCTGACCTCTGGGGTTAGTTTATCCTCTGTGGGGAGAAAAGGGAGCCCTGTTTGGTTTGCTTATAAATGGTGCTTTTCTGTACATTTATTTAAAAAAACGTGCCATAGCCTATTAAGATGTACTTTATAACTAGCTTTTTAACACTTTCAGACATTATTATTGGACAATAACTAGCCTATACTTTGAATCGTTAATGGAAACAATAAAAGTGCCAACCATGAAACTCTCCATAAAATGCTCAAAATGGGCCCTGTTATAACAAGTCAATGCTGGAAAAAGTATTACAGCAACTTCCTAATCAACTAAAAAATAACTACTTGACTTTATTGCAAGGAAAAGTCTTGCTCAATGCTTGTGGATTGTTACTTCAGAAAAAATATTAGTGATAGAAAAAAAGTACATTAAGGCGAAAGTATGCTTCAACAAATTGACCCCTTTTAATGTCTTTGAGTTAGATTGTCGTTCATTGAGGAGCTGTTTGGTTTGCAAAATGTTAGAAAATGTGTTTCGACATGTGTTTCCCAAAGCCCAATATGTATTTCCCAAATGTTCTGAACAAGTCAAACATATACAGTTTACTCTCACAGAAGAGTAAAGAAACCAACAAATATTAACATTTGAGAAGATATTTTTGACTTTTTCAAACCAAAACAAATCAAACCAAATAATCTTACCATATTGCATATGAACTGCAGAGTTGTATCAACATATGTTACAAAGTCCTTTAACATTGAAATAGAGTACAAATACTGCCACATAAAAATGACAATAATCCCTTTAAAGGTCATTATCTTCTTTATAACTTACAGTACATCAATTTGACACCAGCCTATTAATCCACCTTGAATACATGTCATTAAAATGTATGCCGAGTGGGAATAAACTCTGCTCTGCAAATAAATAGGTGACTACTATGAGGTGGGCTGGGTTTACCCTACACTTCTGGAAAATGTTTCCATATTACACTTTAATTACTGAGGCATGGCTCATTACATAGCATATAAATGTGCTCCTAGATCTATACTTCCCCTCTGACTCAAGTGTCTAGTTGGCATGAGAGGAGCCTTTCTGCCGTATCAGATCAGCTGTGGTGAGATGTGGAGCCGCACAGTCTGCGTCAGGCTCCGGCCCAGAACTGGATTTCACTGCTCCACTTCTCTCTTACTCGCTCAGTGTACAGAATAAGAAGCTAAATAAGAAAATGATGTGCCTGAGTTGGTCTGTTGTGAGTAAAAAGGAGCTTCTTCTGTGGAGGACAGAATGTTGTCTCTTTTTCACCACATTTGATATAAACCCCATATTCAGATAACATTTAACCCATCGCAGCATAATGTGATCAGGCAGCAGCTTTATTTCTGTGGTCCTCACACTGGCGTCTTCTTTTCTGGAAGATAAAAAGTACAATCAACTGAAACACTCCCAAAAGTTATATCCGTCTAATTTAAAAACAACTTGTTTTCCTCCTAAACTGTCGGTGGTGATTGCGTCCAGAGTTTAAAGCCGCTCTGGATGCTTACACAGGTTTGGATTATCAAGGGGAAGCTAAGATGCAATGCTACTGAATGAGGAATATATAGATATAAATAGGCCATCCAAGGCTATGGAAAGCCGAGAGAGCAAATCATCAGCAAATATTTGATAATTGCTGCGGGGTTGTGTTGCTTTTTCGGTCATACAGATCTCCAGATGTTTTCATTGGTTTGCTGTAGTGGAAAGAAGCAGGCTGCATTTAATCGAGGTCAAGTGAATCCTCCTTGTTTTGCCTTGGCAGGATTCTTCCTCCTTGACACCATGCAGTGCTGTGGAGTCAGAGCATTGGCTCTGCTCCCTCTTCTCCCCCGACTTCTTTGTGGTGCATCACGTTTTGAAGCTTCTGTGTCAAATAATTTAGGAGAGACATTTTAGATTCCTGGAATGCCTCATGCTGCTTTACATTGGGTCTGTGCAGTGAAGCTCTACAGTCACCTGTCTCCTGGGTTTCACAGGCAAAGCATCTGAAAGAGATTTTAAATGGGTCTATTAGTTTTTTTGTGGCAAAGGGGATAGAGGGTTCATCTTGGATTGGAGAGGAGAAGTGTGTTGTTCAGTTTGAGGGCTGGAATGTGGTGTGGACAAGTGGAAATGTCTCTCTCCCGTGTTAAAACGGCCATGCCTGTAGCAGAAACAATATGAAGACTTTTCCATATTTGTGCTGTTGTGACGTGAGCACCGCGAGGCCCAAACTAAGTCAATCTTTCCTCCACAGAAATGTATTTCCTGTCAGTGTGTGCAGAATGCCTTTCAGTGCATGAGCTTCAATCTGCTCACGGTTTTTCACAGACGGTAAAGTTCAACACTGGAATTTAAGTGGACAGGCAGGCGATCAAGAAACAGTCAGTTTTGAGTAGATATCTGGGATTTCTGCCAGCAGATGAACTATTTTTTGGTCCATTACTTTGAATCATAGAGAGAGACTTCATTGAGCAGTTTAACATGGAAAAGTGACCGAAAGCTTGCGAATAAGAAACTGGGGACATTGCTGTTACATGGTTTACATCTGCTCCGAAGCATTTGAAATCCTAACGGCATGTTTACAGGATCATAAATAAATGTAACCTTACATTTAAGTTAGATGGTGGTTAAACATCTGTAGAGCAAAGTAGAGGAGTCAAGATGTCAGTGTTGGCAGATGATCTAAGGAATTGTTTTGCCATTGTTCACGTATTCATCCACAGCACATTCTCTTCACTGTGCTATTATACAGAGACAAGAAAGCAAAGATTTAATGTTTACATAGCTTTTTGTCATGCTAGCCGTGTGGCTCTTTGTATTGCAAATATTTGTCTGTAGGTCAGTCCTTTTGGATCCAAACTCAAATATGTCAACTATATTGAATGGATTGCTATGAAATTTGGTACAGACTAGTGTTTGAAGGGTTTGTGTTCAAATGGACTATGCAGATATTTAGAAAGCAGGGCGGACAATGTATAATGCTGATATATCGTTACATTTTGTTGCCCTTTTTATTTGTTTAATTAACACTCACTTTCTGCAATGTCTCTGTTTTCTTAAGTAGATCTCCACTCTGCCTGCCGTGCACCTATTTTTAAATGAAAAATGTGCACATGGTTGTCAAAGCACCTCACTTCAACAAGAACTCATGAATGAAAAATTAGTTTAGGTCACTTAACAACAGAACTTATAACCGGAAGCAACATCTCTTAGTCACATTATGTAACCCTGCATAAATAAATAACACATTATCATTGTCAGTGTAATGGACTTTATTGGTGTTGGCACATTGACATTTTTAAATAGCGAGGGTGACATTTGTGGTTATGTGTAAAATGCCTTCATAACAATTGGACGGGTTGCTCTGAAACATAGTATTCAGATATTCTTGTCCCCCTCAGGATGAATTAAGGCTTTTTAGAGGGACCCTAAACAGTAAATGGTTACATTAAAAACATTCACTCGCTACAGGTACATGAAGACAAATCGGCAACTCTTCTGCGCTTTGTGTCCTATGTGAGAGATCTTACACACACACGGTCAGGGATTACAGAATATCTGTTCTGGTTAAGTAGGTAGCAGTTAGACTAAGTACTTGGCTATTTAATATATAGTATACAGCATACATCATAGCATAATCATTATTTTACACATGTTCTCTGAGCTCAAGCATACACTGCAAATAACATACGACTTGCTTTCTCATTGAGTGAACACTCACACAACTAATCTACATTCTGCAGTGAAGATGATATATGCCTGATATGCTCTGGTCATATGTTTCCAGGGATCCACATGACATCTCATTGATATATCCATATATCAAAACACACTTCCTAAAACTGATAAAAGCACGGAAACTTGAAAGCCTCCCAGCCATGTTGGCAGGAAGATTAAAGTTGGCGTTTACAGCCTGATTCGACTTTTTCTTGGATTCTACATCATATCAAGTCATCTTCGGAATCTGTGGGGGCAGTATCAGCATTTATGTCGAGAATAGGATGGATGGTCTTGCAAGTCTCATTAGTAAAACATTGTAAAAATCCTATCGCATGTCCTCCTCCATGTCTCTATGCAACCTGAACCTGTTTACCGACAGATAAGGACTGTCTTTGTAATTATGTCCATGTGTTTGGCCGAAAAAATATCCAACGGCCAACTTATTCAATCCTTAGCACGTGGAAGCTTGGTGTAAATTGCAGGATCGGGTGAAGTAGAGACGTTTTTCTGCTAAGTGTTTTTGTTTATGTGTGAGCATCTGCCTCACACTTTGACCACTTGTAAAAGAAGTAGTTCAAAGACATCCTTTCAAAAAGATTCTGTATCCGTGCACATGCCTTGACCTTTTTTCAAACTAGAAATAGTTTCTTTTTTTCTTGCCGTTGCCAGCAGAGAGGCATCCCATCCATCAGCCTCACTGACAGCAGCTGCTCTCTCTTCTGCATCTCGACACCATCTCTTTTCTCTCGGGGCTCCAGACATCCAGGCTACTCTAGATTATCCTTTTTTTTCTGGAATAACTTAAAGCATGGGGCCTCACGTTGCACAGGAAGTGGTTTTATCATATCCCGGTCTGGTCTGGTCTCCCCTAAAATGGGCATCATGAGAAGTGGATATGGCTATTTCAGGATTTCCCATGTGGTTCTTTATTTAGAGTAAAATGACAGTAGTAGCCCTGTGGTTTGTTTTGGTTTGCCCTTGGCATGGGTCAGAGTTCCATGGGAGCCTGAAAATATAGACAAGTTCCTTAAATACAACAGACAGAGCCGGTTGTGCTTTCTCCCTGTTTAGAGTTTATTTTACCCTTCAAAGCCCTCTGCTCTTCCCCACACACTCTTCTTTCTCTCATGGCAGAATTTGGAGAAGGCGGTCTAACACAGGCAATCAAAAACCTGCAGCACTCCGTAGGTTGGACTGAGCTCAGTGGAGAAGCTGGGC